GCAACTCCTATGTACTCGGCCTCAGCGCTGGATTTTGATAAAGTTGGTTGCCGTTTGGATGACCAACTAATCAAATTATCACCAAAATAAACACAGTAACCAGATGTAGATCGTCTAGTATCCGGACACCCTCCCTAATCAGTGTTAGTATAAGAAATTAACTTACTTAGAGAGGTTTTATATAGGTGAAGACCAAAAGATAAAGTACCCTGTAAATAGCGTAAAATACGCTTGAGAGCATTCATATGCTCGTGCCTTGGATAATGCATATGGAGACAAATTCGCTGCACAGCATAAGAAATGTCGGGTCTGGTAAAAGTAAGGTACTGCAAAGCACCGGCCAAACTGCGGTACTTAGATGGGTCATCACACGGTGAACCTGCTGAAGCACTGAGTTTCGGTTTGGTTTCAACCGGAGTAGCACACATGGACTACAATTAGCCATGCCAGCTCTTTCTATGATCTCTGTGGCGTACAGTGTTTGAGACAAAAACATACCGTTATCATTACGGGAAACCGCAATCCCCAAGAAGAAACTAAGAGGACCTAAGTCCTTCATAGCAAACTCGCCACTCAAAAGAGTCATGAAATGCTTCCTTAACCTGTCAGAAGAAGCGGTAAGGATAATATCATCAACATATAATAAGAGGTAAGCCATATCCGATCCCTGCCTGTAAATGAACAACGAGTTATCAGATGTACTGTGTGTAAAACCAATAGTGGCTAAAAAATCTGCAAAACGCTGATACCAGGCTCGTGGAGCTTGTTTAAGGCCATAAAGAGATTTTTGCAGTAAACACACATGATCAGGTCAACTCTTATCACGGAACCCCATAGGTTGATGCATGTAGACGGTCTCATTAAGATGACCATGTAAGAAAGCATTCTTGACATCCAACTGATGAATAGGCCAAGATTTGGAGATAGCAATGGTAAGAACAGTACGAATAGTAGCCGCTTTTACTACCGGACTAAAAGTCTCATCACAATCAACACCCTGCTGTTGAGTTTTTCCATCACCTACAAGACGGGCTTTATGCCTCTCAAAAGAAACATCAGAATTATTTTTGTGACAAAAAATACACATTGATCTAATAACATTCACATCCGGGGGCCCAGGTACCAATTTCTATGTTTTATTTTCAATTAGAGCATTAAATTCATCTAACATTGCTGCTTTCCAATTAGGGTCACGAATAGCACTAACCGTGTCTTTGGGTAAAGGAGAAATGGTAGTGGTAGTCGTGGAAGTTAGGTTGGCAGCATATTTGGTGTTGGGTTTGTAGATTCCATTTTTAGCTCTAGTTGTCATAGAATGGGAGGGTAGTAAAGGAAAAGGTGTGAGAAGTGGAGTAGGCTGATCTATGTGGGGTTGTTGGGCCGGCCCAGTTCGGTTGGTAGAAGGGGGTGGCGAATGTGGCTGAGGTAGTGGTCCTTGGAGATGGACAGTGCCATGCCGAGTTGGGCTTGATGATGTCGGCCCAGGAGAGGAAGGAGGGGAGAGAGGTGGGCTAGCTTGCGGCCTAGCCGAGTGAGGAGGACAGAAATGTGGGCTCGCTTGCGGCCTAGGAGAGATAGGAGGGGAAGGTTGTGGGTCTGCTTGGTGTTGTTGCATATAACTAACAATGGGATTTACATCCAGAAAGTTGTAATCATCAATATGAGGAGTGTGAAGTTTGCAAAAGGGAATTCATGCTCAATAAATTTCACATGACATATGAGTATTTTACCAGTTGACATATCATAACACTTAGACCCTCTATGATTTGGAGCAAGACCAAGATAGACACAAGGGGTTGACCTTTGTTGCAACTTATTAATGGAAGTGGAAGGGAAAAGAGGAAAACATAGACAACCAAAAACACGTAAATCCGAGTAGATAGGATCACATTGATATAGAATTTGAGTTGGAGACTGAAATCCTAAAATTTTGGTTGGTAGAATGTTTAGAAGGTAAGTGGCCATGGCTAGGGCATGGTGCCAAAATGAGAGAGGTAAAGAAGCATGTGCAAGTAAGGTCCGGATGATATTGTTGATTGATTTGTTGTGACAATCGACTTTTCCATTTCGAGGAGAGGTATGGGGGCAAGAGAGACGGAATAACATACCATTTTGATCAAAGAACTCATTAAAAGTGCCATTGATATATTCAGTACCATTGTCACATTGAAAAGTCTTAATGTTACAATTAAATTGTGTGCTTATAAGGTTATGAAAGGATTTAAACAAATGTTTAACTTGGGATTTTTTAGCAATAGGAAAAGTCCACAAAAATTTACTGTAATCATCAAGAAAAAGCACATAATAACAATGGCTAGAAGAACTCACAATAGGCAAAGTCCAAAGATCACTATGAATAATATCAAATGGAAAAAACAGTGTTCGACATAGAATCATGAAAAGGCAACTTTGTAAGTTTCCCTAGAGGACAAGAAGAACAAAAACTCTTACAAGCCTTATTACAATCAAAGAATTTGCTATTACTAAGAGAACGAAGAACAACATCACCGGGATGTCCTAAGCAGTTATGCCATAGATCGGAGGAGATAGCAGTAAAAGCTGAATTATTGACTGGAGAATTGGCTTGAGTAAGGATAGGATATAGGTTACCGGCACTGTCACATCTCATTATTTTGATCCCGTCTGTAAATCATTCACAGAAAAGCCAAAAGGGTCAAATTCAACGGAAACTGAGTTATCAGTGGTGAATTTTCGGACAGATATTAGGTTCTTAATTAATTTAGGAGCATGTAACACATTTTTCAATTGAAAGGGTGGGTGAGGTGATGGTAAAGTATTACTACCGTGACCAACCATTGGAATTAAATGTCCACTACCCACAACAATGTTATCATTTAAAGTGCTCGAATTAAAATAAGAGGAAAAAATACCTTGATCGGAAGTCATATGAGTTGTGGCACCAGTATCCATATAGAAGTTGTTGTCGGGTTGAGAGTGACCAGGCAAAACAGCATTCATTTTCGCTTCAATGTCCGTGGGAGAGTAACTACTAGTTGGAGCCATAGCATTGTAAGCCTGAGGACGTGGGCCCAGAACTCCAGGCCCAGCTGGACGAGGCCTAGAGTGTTGGGCAGCAGCTGGTCTTGGAGCCCATGAGGTGGCTGGGTACGGGCAAGGAGGAACCCCAACCCACGGATTATAAGCCCAAGGAGTGTGCTGCCAACTATATGGCACATGTGGGCCGTGTAAAGGGGGTTGCTGTTGGGCCCCAAGAGGAGAATTATTTGAAGGGCGGCCCTTTCCAGAATTTTTAGAAGAATTTGATTTCCTTTGCTTTCCCCCTTTTGAAGCAGAGTGATTTGAGGAAGAAAAAGAAGAGTTGCTCGCGACGGTGGATGTCACGAGTGCTTGATTGCGGGTGCTTGAACCACCCTCCTTGGCTAGCCGATTCTTGATAGTCCATTCAGCAAGTTTGAGGCGAGAACGACAACTTTCGAATGAAGGCAGAGGTTCTTGGTTCTGAATTATGTCCACCATGCCGGCGTAGGCTTCTGGTAAACCGGCGGTGAGCTTGAGGACCAAGCGGCTTTCGGAGAGAGGAGCATCAACATCAGCGAGGCGATCAGCGAGAGATTTTATGTGATTGCAGTAGGCATCAATGGTTGAAAAATTCTCGAACACGAGATCGGCAAGTTCCTCTTCAAGGTGGGTGGCACGAGAGGCTTTGTTGTCTTGAAACATTGATTCGAGACGAGCCCAAGCCCCTTGAGCGGTGTCATCTTTGAGAAGAATGGCATGAAGGAGATCGGGGGATATGTTTCCATAAATCCAGTTCAAAACCGCAGCATCAAGACGCTTCCATAAAGCCGGATCAACAGCTTTGGTAGCTTGATAGGCGACAATCTCCGTTGCCTCCGTAGGAGGTATAATATGATGATATAAATCATGGACCCTAACGAGTACCTTGAACAAGGTAGCCCAAGAATGATACATGCCCTGATCATCTAATGTTATGGGGATAAGAGATTTGACATTGGTGATGGTGAGAGCAGGGTGAAATTTAGAGGATTCGGGAGACATGATGAGCAACGGATGAGAAGGTGGGCGATGGTTAGGGAGGTTGAAGCCAAGGTCAAAACCTTTACTCTGATACCATGAAGGGAGATAGAATGTAATTGCTTGATTTGCATTCGAAATGTTTGGCAGAATATATACCACTGTACAAGGATAGTTAGGCCTATATTTGAGGCTTAGATTAGGGAGCTAACGGAGCTATTCTACAGCTATGCTTCCTAAATATATGCACTAGATAAATACATGGCATAAATAGATATATACAATAAATCAGAATATAATTAATATTATATTCTAACAAATACAGATTAAGGTCGCACTTGTACATCAATTAGAGTTCGAGTCCATTTTAAAGACATAAAAAATTTAACGTACTTTGAAATCATATGACAATAAGGAAATAAGAAAAGTAATGTGTACACTACATGCACCAAGGTCCTAGGATATAATTTATACTCTTTGAAAAATTTTGAATACATAATTTTATCAAATGTAAAAAAAAATTATTGCAGTTATCATTTTAGGGTATGAGAAGGAGGTTAATACCCACGAGAAGGGGGTAATGAGCATCGAACCCAGGGCAAAGCCGGAGGAACTGAAGCTTGCTCCAACTCAGCTAAACTTCTCATCCCTCTAATGGTTAGTATCATGGACTCATGGTCACATAGTCTTAACTCTTAATGATATACACACAAAAAAAAAATTAAAAAAAAAATTATATACAAAGTACTTCATATTGGTGTGTACAATCCTATAAGAATTACAAATGCAACTTAGATGTGAATAAAATACAATATTTAAAAAATATTCACTTTATAAAAATTTTTTGGTCCTTTGTCAATTTTGAAACAACTAAAGTGCAATGATATAGACATGATTTGATCTCATATTTTACACAACACTCTAAAACTTTAACCAACTAATCTAGATGATCTCTACTGAATGTAATGTCAGGATAATAGAAGTAAGAGTAACAATATGCAAGAGAATTTTCATAGTACATGTTTAAGGTCTTACATTAATTACAAAGTTAAAGCTTCCTGGAGTTTTTCTAAGACATGTGACATTTCAGGCCTAGAATTTAGATTAGAATCAGTACACTGTAAAGCAAGTGCAGCAACCGCAACTGCAACATTTTCAGGATATTGGCCTTCCAATTTGGTATCCATGATTTGGAGCAACTTTCTCCGAAATAACTTCACCCAGTTTAGGAGATACTGATCGCTGATCATTGATTTTTTAAGTGCACGCCGACCAGTTAGTAGTACAAGTAATAGAATCCCATAACTATAGACATCGCTCTTTGTTGAAACACAACCTGGTCCATAAACTAAAGAAACCAATTGATTAGTATTACAATATTACACCCTTGTTTACAACTTAGCTTTAGGTACATGAAGGCGTTTTTAACGTTGGTTTAAGTGTACAAGTTGGTTTGAGTATACCTACATGTAGATATATCCGAGTGTATAATTAAGTTTGAGGAGATCATATAGACAATTTCCGTACCTGAATCTACAGACTCTGGCGCTGCATAACCTTGCGCTACATAACCCTGCCTTGCATAACCCTGAATGTCCATGACCTGAGGTGCTAGATAAGCTGGTAGCTTCACATTGAAATCCTGCAAGTAGAGAAATATATTACTCGTAGACAATTGCACAACAACAAAAAAAGAAAAGACATGAGAAAAATGTAGGAGTTAGTTGTTTAAACAACATACATCATCTAGCAAGATATGTGATGCATCAAGATAACGATATAAGACTTGTGATTCAGCGTCGTGAAGGAAAGAGAGTCCTTTGGCAGCACCTATAGCCACTTTCATCCTTGTTTCCCAAGAGATTGGTTGGATTCCCTCTGCATTTATATTTCCCAACAAACTATACCAAGACTTTTATAGCAAATACCGGCAATTCTTCTAAGAATAATTACACTCATAAATTACAAAATTAAGAAACTATCAGTAAAATAACACTTACCTCTGAAAAAATAGTTTTCTAGGCTTCCATTAGGCAAAAACTCGTACACCAGAAACCAATCTTCACTATCAACGCGATATCCAATAAGTTTCACTAGATTGGGATGATGTAGTTGGCCAATATAGTTCAACTTTGCCTGCATCAAATAAGCTATGAGGAAAAATTTCGGGTAAGAAGTCTTAATGTGAAGGGACCGAACACAAAGCATACAGTAGTGAACATACCAACCACTCCTTATCACCCTTGAAAACTTCGGATTTAAGGTGTTTTAAAGAGACAGGAATTCCAGTTTTAGGGGTTGAAGGGCAGAGAGTCTGCTTATCAATCCACCCCTTGAAAACTATATCAGAATATTCACCTCCTTCAGTGAGACTCTGGGAATATTCGATGCCATTCGCAAAGTCGTTGCAGGAGAAGGCCTTTAAACCAGGAGTAGACAACATTTCATCATCGGATCTTTGAGTAGGAATACTCTGATTGCTGCTTTTGACATTTGTTGCTGAAACAATAGTGAAAATTTTCTCTAGGTAACAGAAATAAAAGCACAAAAATAAACTTTTTACTTCTCCAATTTTTTATTATTTGCATCAATACCTAACTTCTCTAGAAATATGTAATCCCTATACATGTCCAAATAATATTCCATGCTTATTTTATGATTGAATATTCTAACACGACATTCCCATTTAAAATAGATAGGTGAAATTTTGTTGAACACTTCAATTTGATGAAATTAACAATGTTTACTTCCATAAAAAGTTTTTTCATAAACACCACCCTTCATATGATGCATAATATATTGTCCCTAAACTAAAGCAAAGGTGCATTAGACAGTTATACAACTCAAGAACTATACAAGAATACAAATAGGCTTCAAAGCTTAAGAGGTCTTGGTACGACGGTATGATACATTGATACATGAACTTTACGATGAAGAACCATACTCCTAGAAGATTACACAGTCTTGGATTACATATTTACAGTTAGGCAATAATCAAACACAATCACAAAGGGCCTGCTCTCTTCAGCTTATATTCAGTTCAGTTCATTTCAGGTCCAGTAAGTTTAGTTCAGCTCTTAATTTCCTTCTCTCATAAAATATTCGGTTCAGTTCAGTTCATTTTAGTTCAGTCAATCAGAACATGCCCTTAGTTTTGAAATAATCTAAGCAACCCGATAAACTACTAGCTTTTTATACAGAACAGAGAAAACAATTAGCAATTAAGCTAGCACTAATATACAAGGCTAATTTCACCATCAAATAACAAACATGCCTTTTAAAAAAATTTCAACAAAGACCTTCAAACATGCTAACGAACACAATATTCTAAATGAACTTAAATATAAATTAATCCTTATGATAAAAAGACAGGTGCTTGTTTGCTTTTCATGAAAAAAGTCGTAGGTAGCCTAATTGGCTTAATCACCCGTCATTATACTACACCAATTTGGCGGATCACTCATCTAACTTGACAATACAAAGAAACATTAATAGGCATTTTTTATTTTTTATTTTTGTTAAAAAGACCCAATGAACCAACATTTCTTAAGAGTAGAGGGGAAGATAAAATAATTCCATTACTCCCTAGCACGCATATGTAGTTAGTGGGCTTAAACTTGCGACTTTAAAGTTCTGTATCAACTCTATCAAGCTAGCTTGGTTAAACATTAATAGGTGTTACATTCAACTTTTCTTATTAATCCACATACTATAATATTTCGTATATGTAAAGACTATTATTAGTTTCTTGCTTTCTTCGTATCTTTCTTATTTTAAGCACCCTTTCACAAAACAAGTTTACCTCTAACAATACTATACGATAGTCTTCAATTGCACACACAAATTCTAAACTACAAGAATACACATGCATAGTGTTAAACGGATCAACTAAACCAAAAGTTTAAGTTGATGGTTGAAGTTCAAGATTAGTTTATATACTCTATCACATAAAAACACTATAAGTAATTAATACAAAGTAGAATCATGTCGTACCAGAATTGGGATTAGAGTTGATAGACTTTAGCGGTGTAGAAGTACTCATACAATTGCCCATGCTATATATCCAACAACAACGGAAAAATGGATTAATAAATGAAACTTGAAAGTATTAGTTGACACGTTTTGGCTTTGTATCTAATAACATCCAATTATAGATCGATGACAAGGAGTAAATTGGGTAAGAAGCTTAAGCTATATGTAGCAATGGAGGATTATTTGACAATTTCTTAGGAAGGAAAAGCATGTAGAGTCTAAAAGAAGTTATATTTAGAAATAAAAAATGATTAGATTAGCATGAATGAGTACATTAATTTATAAATTAAGATTAACTACATTGACTAATAGTAATGAATGGGAATGGGAAGAGAAGGACAAGCTTGACAACTAACTCTATTATTCAATCAATTAAGTACTCCCCACCATGGGCACCATCCCCGACCATATGATTCTTCCACTTTCGTTTTTGGATTGTAGTTTGAATAATCCGATACACTACTACGGAGGAGTACAATCTTATTTAGAGGTGTCAAAAGCAAACTCGACCCGATTCAATTCGAAACTGATCTGAAAAATATCTCATTCAAATTCGACTCACATAGACATGGTAGACACAATAATTAAGCATGAATCAAATTTTAAAAAAATTGACCGGACCAGCCCAACTTCACCAAACCCGATTCGAACGCCTGAATTGACACCTTTTATCATAATAAGGCTCTATTTATTTTAATGAAAAACAATTTATTAGAAAAATGATTCTCCAAGGAAAATTACAATTGTGAAAATGGTTTTCCTTCATTTGTATCCTTGCAAGAAAATTTGAAGAGAAATGGAGACTATGTTACATGGACTCGGGTATGTGTGTATGACACGGACACGGACATGTGTCCAAGTGTCCTTTTCGTCAATTTCTAAAATTTTAGGATACTTTCATTTTGTGCAAAAAAAAAAGTTAAAAGTGAACAGGTTGAATGGTAAAAAAACCTAATAAATGTCGTCAGTGACTACAACATTCTATCCAATCAAAATATTAAAAGTAAAAAAAGAGGTTGAGTGGTTAAAAAATAAAATATAACCAAAATGAAGAGCATCACACAACAGCCCACCCTACTTTTTTTTTTCTTTTTATTATTATTATTTTTTATCAATGCAACTGTCCCACTTACCACAAAACCTCTCAGTCTTTCATTCTCTTCTTTCACTCTTTATTTCTTTATCATGCATTCATGTGGTTGCTACATGCCGGCAACAATGGAGTCCACCACAAAAATCCGACCAACTCACAAATTCAGGCTGTTTTGGGGGATTTAAGTTGTCTATCGGTCGAAAATGCGGAGTTTTTATACTATAGTTTCTCCCTTTCCCCTCTCTCTGGGATTTCAGCCGAGTTCGGTGAACATAGAATGGGGAAATAAAAGTGAAAGGGGGAGGTATGACCGTATCAGATGTAAAGAGTAGGAATAAGAATTTAGCTAACATACCTTCATTTAATTTTAAAAGGAAAACATTTTTCACTATTAAGAAATGTTGAGTATAGTTGTAAATATCTTCTGTACAAGATATTTATAGTGATGACTAGTACAAAGTGTGTTAGGCTTTTTCGCATTTCTAGGAAAGTTGTTAAAGTTAGTTGCTGTAATAATAGATATTTAAAGGTGTAATAATCAATAATCAAATGAGTTATCATTTTACACAATTTTAATTCCTCTTTATAGATTTTTCTCTCTTTTCTCTTGTTCTCTCTCTCTCTTTTAAATATTTGATAATATTGAAGTTTCACATGGTACCACAACAATTCCTGGTGAGTTATTTGATGATTTTCTTCTTCTGATTTCTTATTTTGGTCGTTTGATTGAACGAAATATCTTTTTTATTCAATTAATTTTTCAAGTGTTATTGCGATTTCTTGCGATTGCGATTTTGATCTCTTCTCTCTTCGATTCTTTGTTTTCTTGAGCTTCTTTTAAGCCTCAATTACTTGATAATGGCACCTGTAGTTTCTTCACAGTCAATCAACAATGGTGTTAAATTCAATGATCCTTATTACCTTGCTAATGGAGATCATCCAGGAATGCAGCTTGGAAATAATATTATGATCTTACTGGCTCTAATTTTGTGAATTGGAGTTATAGTGTAAGAATGTCGTTAATTGCGTTAAATAAGTTGCACTTTGTGGATGGATCTCTTACTTCTCCAAGTGTTGATCATCCTAATCATCAAAAATGGTTGCGTAATGATTACATGGTTATGTCATGGAATTTGAACTCTATGGAAAAGAATCTAGTTGAATGTTTTATGTTTGTTAATTCGTCTACTGAATTATGGTCTGAAATTTTTGAGAGGTTTGGACATAGTAATGCTCCTCAATTATTTGATTTGCATAGGAATCTAAATCTTGCTGCTCAGAATAATGATAGTATTGCTGAATGCTATGGAAGATTGAAGAGATGTTGGGATGAGTTGCAAGTTTTGGAAGGTTTTCCAAATTGTACTTGTGAAGCTTTGAAGAAGTGCAGTTGTGGAATTCGGAAGAAGGTCTTTGAAATGGACCTGAGCGAAGGAAATTAATGCAGTTGTTGTATGGACTTAACAAGAATTATGATCAAGTGACGACTAACTTGTTAAGTTCTGATCCTTTACCCACTATTAACAAGGCATATCATACAATAAAGCAAAATGAGCTCAATCAGACTACTGCCTCACTTGAAATAAGTGCATTGAATACAAAGTTCATAATTCTTTTCAACCTAAGTTGTTTCCTAAACTAGTTTTTCAGCAAAGAAAATACAATTTTAAGAGGATTAAGAATGATATTGTCCGTGATCATTGCAAGAAGAGAGGTCATCCGATCCTAAAGCTATATGGAGTGCCTAATTGGTATACAGCTCAAAAGGCTAAGTGAGGCGTAAAGATGGTTGCAAATGTGTCCAGTGATTATGGAACTCTTAGAAGAGCACCTACAGATAATTCTGAGTGTAGCAAGGGTTCTAGATTAGGTATTGGTGGTTCTGGTCCTGCAATTGATTCTTTTGCATGCAAAACTACATCTATGGTGTAAAATGAATTCATGAATCTCATGAAGACTAATTCTCATATGGATAATCCTCCATTACTAAAATTCGGCCAAATTGCGATCGTCTCTGACGGTCGCTGAAAATAGAAAAAACGGTTGCTAAAAATAATTGCGACCGTCAACGGTCGTAACGTGGTGGTCATTATTCACGTGTTCGCATATATTAATAACTGCGACCGGTTTCATCAACGGTCGCAAAATTGGAATTAGTAACCGCCATAAGCCGTTGCTAAATTTAAAAAAACAAAAAAAAAAGAAAAATCACACCCACCCATGTACTTTACATCTAGCCTCACCAACTGTCACAGTCACTTTTGGGTCGTCCTAGGCGAAGCCGTCGATCACCCCGCATAGGCGCGCAAGGCCTTCGGAATCCTACTTGCCTACATAACCAAGTGTGCGCTCGGTTCGGGAAGAACGAGCCAAGTGAGGCTAGAGTAGCTAACTACCACATCTAAGGCATGTGAGGTTATCATGTGTTGAGTCCCTTAGGTTTTGATTGATAGTTTTGAATGATGACAAACAGCTAAGGGAAACAGGTCTTTGAAAGTGTTCAATACAGTTGGGGGAACCAACTAAAATAGAACACTGTTTTCCTAGATAAGTTATTGATTATATGAGTTATCTATTGAACTAACTTATCTATATACAGGAAACAGTTAGATGATAAATGTGCTATGTACTGGTGGGGAACCAGTATGAACCGTTTCCTTGACTGCTATGCGGAAAAGCAGTCACATACTCTTTATTGTGCATTAACCATGTTACATGTGCAGTAGTTGAGTTGATTCCAAGACTTGGAGCATAGAAGCCTTTCGAAGATATTTCGAAGAAAGATTGTTTGCTCATAATAGAAGTATTCAAGGAAGATTCAAGTCTTGAAGATTACATGAAGAAAAGACGATTTATGCTTTAATATGTTATCTAGGTTTTCATGTAATATGCTCCGTAGTATGCTTGCATGTTTGGGTTATATAAGTGCTTAAAAGTATATTGAAGTATGATATGAAATCTGGTACAAAGTTGGAACAGGTTTCATAACATGTTTCAATTCAGGGAACCAGGTCGGGGAACCAGGTTCACTGTACGAAATATTCGAGCTGCCGTTTTGGAAAAAGATTTTACAAAAAAAATTTTTCGAAAAGATTATTTTGAAAATATTTTGTGCAGCTGGAAATAAAATGAAATATTCTTGGTTACCTAAAAACTAGGAGTATTTATCTTAATTGATTCTATCTTTGTGATTAAATCAAATAAGATAAATACTTTCCTAAAATTACAATATATCTTATTCTCTAAGATTGTGTGATTTAAGGAAACTAGGTTTTAGGAATCTAAGCTTATATAAACTCATCTTATTTCACATATTTCGTGTGCCTCTCCAGAAATTAAAAAGAGCAATTATTTGAGAGCATATACTTAAGCACTAATCCCATTCATCAAGTCATATACAAGAGCATTCTAGTACAAAAACATTTTCTCTTAATTAGCTTCGTAGAAGTGAGATCAAAGGAGAGTTCTTGATTCTTGTATTGAGTCTTTAACAAAGGGGTTAAAGGCTGGGTGAGTGTTTGTGAGTTCAAACACATTGGGCTTACGAGTGTAAGTCGAGAGCACACTCGGAGTAGAGTGTGGGGTAGACTGGTTCCCGGAGTAGGGAAACAGTAGAGTGTTCTTTGTCTTTGTTTTTCGGAGTAGATTAATAAAGGACTTAGGATAGGAGGACGTAGGCCTGAGTTGGCTGAACCTCGTTAAATTTGTTGTGTTCTTTATTGCTTTGTTTTATTCCGCTGCATAAGGGAACCAGCACAACTGGTTCCTTACACATAATCCGAAAAGAAGCAAAAATCGCTAACGATTACTTAACACTCAATTCACCCCCCCCCCTCTTGAGTGCCCATTGAACCTTCAATTGGTATCAGAGCCTAAGCTTCTCGAAAGAGTAACATCTAGAGGAGTTAAGAATGAGTACTCAAGAATTAAGTGCAATCGGTTATGACAACAAGTCACCCAAGTTTAATGGAAATAATTATGCTTGGTGGAAGAACAGGATCCAGAATGTTATCATGGGTATTGATTATGAATGCTGGCTCGTAGTTAAAAATGGTCCTAATATCATTCTCAAGACAGATGTTGAGGGGAACCAGGTTCCCAAGAAAGATAGCGAATTAGTCACTGCTGATTACAAGTTGCTGGAGAAGAATGCTAAGGCAATGTCAATACTACAACAAGCAATAGGTGAGACCGAAACAAATCGTATATCTGGCTGCAGTAGTGCTAAGGAGATATGGGACACCCTTGAACTTGCGTTTGAGGGAACCAGTGAGGTAAAACGGTCTAAAATTGATTTAATCATGTCTAAATATGAATTGTTTGCCATGAATAAAAATGAAAAAATCAATGATTGCTTTCGTAGGTTTATGACTATTGTAAATGATCTTAGATCTCTTGGTAAAAATTTATCTGACGAGGATCTTGTGAGAAAATTATTGCGTAGTTTAACAGATGCATGGACAGCCAAGGTAACAGCAGTATACGAAGCAAAGGATCTGTCTACCTTGTCTCTGGAACAGCTGATTGGTTCCCTTATGACTCATGAGATGCTGATTGACTCTAAGTCTGAGAAGGAACCAGCAAGAGGCATGGCGCTTAAGGGAACAGTAGAAGATGATGAAGATGAAATTAGCATGATTGCAAAAAGATTTGAGAGATCTCTTCGAGATCAAAGAAAGAATTTCAAAGGTAAGCATTTTAAAAACTATAAAAAATCTAACTCTAATTCTTCTTCTACAGGATGTTTCAAGTGTGGAGAAAAAGGACATCTTATTCGAGATTGTCCTAAGTGGAATGACAAACAGTCTAAATCCGGAGATAAACAAGCATACAAGAATGCCATGATAGCTTCCATGTGGGGAGACTCTGACTCAGGGTCAGATGAAGAAGAAGGATCACCCAACTCAGATGTTTGCCTAACTGCCTTTACAAACATCAAGGAAAACAACACTGGTCCAGGAACCAGAGGGGGAACCAGTACATTCAACAAATGCTTTATGGCAAAGAAGGATGTACTACATGAACGCAAGGTAAGCTTAGAGCAAATTAGAGAAGATATGCATGAATATGATAGAGAAAATATGCTTGCTTGTATTGATTCCTTACTAGATGAATGCTATAAATTAAGTGAAACATACATAATTTGCAAAAGAGAATTAAAAGAAAAAAGTGGTGAATGTAATATTGCTATTGCTAGTTGTGATCATCTAGAAGGAGTCTGTTATGAACTAAAAAATCAAGTAGCAGAACTAGAGGTTGAATTGGACAAGTGTAAAGTGGAACTAGAAAAGGAAAGATCGTTTGAACCAATTGATGGTGAAGAGGATCTGACCTCCTGGTTCCCTAGAGACTTATCAACCACTAGTGATACTCTTGATTTTTCAGTAGCTATAAGTAAAGCAAATTCATGTACTAGAACTTCCTTGTTGAAGGCCTTTGAAACATTGGCTTACAACCTGGAAAATTCTCACAAGGAAATTGCTTCACTTAAAGCTGCACAGTTCACTGTTTCCCCTACAGGTACCAGTGTAGATGTCAGTAATATGATTGATAAGTATGAAAGTAATATTTGTGATTTGCATGCGGAAATCAATCAACTGAAAAAGGACAAGCAACCAGTGGTTGTTGACATGTCTATTGACCGTATGGTTTCAAAGCTTAATCTACAATTCGAAGCTTTAAAAAGTAACTTTGATTTTCTTAAAGAGAAAAACGAATTGTTGACTAAGACACTTGAAACCAGAGAAAAAGAACTTAATGATAGTCATAGACATGTGGACAAATTATTGAATGCTCAAAAATCCTTAAATTACCTGACTTCATCAAGAGGAAACAGAGGAAAAGTTGGTCTCGGTTATACTAGACAGAGAACCAGGACTAACTGGTCTCCCAGAGAAACCACCTGGATCAAAGAATATCAACGAGGCAAGTATGTCATGACTAAAGAGATGCATGTGTGTTTTCATTGTGGTAAAAATGGACATAAGATACATGAATGTCCAGCTAAGAAAATTAGTGCTAATAAGAACAGCAAGGGTGCAAAGTGTGTTTGGAGAAGAAAGGATCAACAAGTTGTTAATATTGTTGAAAAGGGACCCAAGTATGTTTGGGTTCCTAAATCTAATGTTTGATTTGCTCTTGCAGGCTAGAGTGAAGGGAGACACCTATTGGTATTTGGACAGTGGTTGCTCAAGACACATGTCCGGGGATAAAGATCAATTCCTTTCACTAGTGGCCTTTGATGGAGGAAGTGTCACCTTTGGGGATAACAGCAAGGGAACCATCACTGGTTTAGGTAAGGTTGGTAAGACACTTTCTAACGCAATAGATGATGTTTATTATGTTGAAGGCTTGCAACATAATCTCTTGAGTATTTCTCAATTATGTGACAAAGGTAATAGAGTTGAGTTTCAAGCCAACCTATGTCACATAGTTAACTCAC